TGATTAAGTAGCAGATAGAGTGGAAAGAGACAGCAATCTTGCAAATTGGGTTAAAATGTCTTACTTCAGCAACTTAAAAAACAAACAACATGTGACCATGCGAGCACATTACCAGTGGTCATCCAAGGCCTAGGAAGGAGCCTGTGCAAGTGAGGAGCCCTGCAGTCCATGCTTCATTACCTTCATTGTAAATTTGCCTCTGTAGGAATGTTTTCCTCTTAAAAAAATGAAAACACATCCTTCTTGTCCCCCGAACCATATTACTTTATGTTTCTAAAAATGCTTTTCAAGTGATTTGTGTGCAATTTGACAATGTATCAGTAGCCTAAAAATATTCACGTTTTATCCCAGTAATTCTCCTTTTGGCAATCTAGTGTAAGAAAATTAACTAGATTAATGGAACAGCCTTATGGTCTATTGCAGCATTATTTATAATAACAAAAAAAATGGGTAAACTTTAATGACTAACAACATGGGAATGACAAAGTACAATATTATATATTCACCTGTTGGAATATTATACCATTAGTGCCAATGACTTTTCTTTACAAAATGCCTATAATAATCTGGGAAAATGCTAATATACTAATATTATCAGAAAATAGCAGTGCACAAAACTTATATAAACAGTGTATATAAACAACCAATTGATAACATTGTCTTTGAATTTCCAGCTCTTTGGAAATATTCTTGTGTAACACACATCTGAACCCCTTGGATCTTTGGAATTTCGAAAATTGAGGACCAACACTGATCACACTAGAAAAAAGTCTCATTTTAAAATATCCTCTGATTTTATATTGTTTTTTAAAGATAATTCTCGGGACTTCCCTGGTGGCGCAGTGGTTAAGAATCCACCTGCCAGTGCAGGGGACATGGGTTCAAGCCCTGGTCCAGGAAGATCCCACATGCCATGGAGCAACTAAGCCTGTGCGCCACAACTACTGAGCCTGTGCTCTAGAGCCTGTGAGCCACAACTGCTGAGCCTGTGTGCCTAGAGCCTGTGCTGCACAACAAGAGAAGCCACCACAATGAGAAGCCCGTGCGCTGCAAGGAAGAGTAGCCTCCGCTTACGGCAACTAGAGAAAACCTGTGCACAGCAACAAAGACCCAACTCAGCCAAAAGTAAATTAATTAATTAAAAAAACACTTTAAAGTTAATTCTCGATACTAATGGGAAAATGATGAAATCAGCACTTTTATTTATTGCTGATTGAAGAATAATAAACAACATTTTTGGACAGTATTTTGGCAATATTAATCAAAAGCCTTAAATGTATTCATACCCTTTGACACAGCAATCCCAATTCTGAGCATCATTAGTAGCAGATGCTGTACTGCTGTGCATAGAAAATGCAAAAGAGTCTATAGATTTGGATTAATCAGTGAGCGTAATAAGGTGGCTGCGTATACGTGTCAATATTCAAACTATTATGAAAATCAATTGTATAGATTGTTAGAAAATGAAATTTAAAAAATATAGCATTTACAATAGGATAAAAATAACATCAAATACCTACAGATATGTCTAATGTGAGATATTCAGGGCTATTACCCAGAAAACTATAAAATATTATTGCAAGAAATTAGAGAAGACCTAAATAAATGGAACTGTACTACGTTCGTGGATTAGAAAACTAAATATTTTTAGAAGATGTGTATTCTTTCCCTACCAAACCGATCTATAGATTCAGTGCAATCCCAAGCAAAATCTCATTGTTTTTATTCTTTCTTTGTGGAAATTATAAGCTAATTTTAAAGTTTATAAAGAAATGTAAAGAACTAAAGATAGCCAAAACAATCGAAGAAGAACAAAGCTGGAGGACTTACTCTACCAGATATCAAAACAGCCAATATAGTTATTTGTAGGCATAATTTGTATTAGTATTAAATTATATTAAGCCTCCATTTCTTTCCCCATTACCTTTGTTTTTATTTTTATTGATGGCATGTATTATGTATATTTTTATTAAAGATACATTTGACTGCAAATATTAAGTGTTGTATATGTATGTATACATAGATTTTACCCAATGTTATATGGTCCTATCTGGCTTTATAAATGAAAAATAGCTATTTTTGACAATGATAGGTTAAGGGTGAGTTTTTTCTGATTCATTCCATTTTGTATTTTGTAGATCTTTTCAATTGGAAATTCACTTTCCTCTTTAGGTCTGGAAAATTTCTTTGTTATTTCTTTGATAATTATCTCCTCTGCACTTATTTGTTCTTCATTTCACTCTTCTCTTAGTGGATGTTAGACTTCCTGGTTTGATGCTCTGCGTCTCTAATCTTTATTGCTCATATTTTTCATCCCTTTGCCTTTTTATTTTTATGCTCTGAGAGATTTTCTAGACTTTTTCCCCAGTGCTTTTATTGAATTTTTATTTCACAATCATATTTTTAATTTCCAAAACTACTTTCTTATACCCTGATCATTCCTTCCCCTATTCTTGATTTGTGGATTAAATAGCTTTTCAAATCTCACTGAGCCTGCTGATTAGATTTATTTCTTAAAATCACTGAACTTTAATTATGTTCATGTTCAGTTTCCCTTGCTCTTTCTGTTTCAAACTGCTTTTTTCCCCTAAAATGTCTGGAAACCTTTGAGTGTTTGTTGATATTTAAGAGTATGGACTAGGCAGGCAAATCTCTGTACATGGGCATGGACTTGTTACTGGCAGACATGCCTTTCAGGCGAGCATTTGGGGAACTAATTATTCTACTTCCAAAAGCCAGGATGATGACTGCTTTACTTTTAGGCACTAACACCTCCAGGAGTTTCCTTAGTTCACTCCAGATATACTGTAATTTTTTTTAAAGAAAAATACCTCCCCTTTTTTTTGGCTATGGATAAATGCCTGCCTGCTTGAGATTTGTGCAAGGAAGGAGGTATTTGCTATTTTGTTTATAGTCCTGTCACTCATTCCCTGGTTTTCAGCTCTGCTTCTTATTTCCACTCTTGTGTGTGTTCCCTCTGAGTCCGGAGGTTCTGTGGTTCTGCTGCTTTTGGATTCCTGCAGCTTCCTCAAAGTTGCTGTTTCCCCTGCTCTGCTTCAAGCCACTGATGCCCCTGCATTTACTTTCTATCATCTGGAAATTTTTTAAAATCTCTTGTCTGTTGATGAGTATCCTTCTATTCACTTGTTGTTATAGGTTTATACCTTTCTGTTGCTTTACCATCATTTTTCTAAGGACTCAGGAGATGGAGAGTCTATCATGGGAATTTAGTCTGTCATCCTGAAGTGGAATCCTTTAATCTACTTAAGAGGAATCCCTTAAATTCCATGGAAGATGTTTGGTTTAAGCCCAGTTTTGAGAAATAAGTAGAATTTATGTAGAAATAGAGGACTGTAGAAGACAGACCAAAGAGAGGACAGGTTTGAACAATAGTGTGGAGATGTACATTGACCACGTTAGGTTTGAAGAATAATGAGTGTGTCAGCCTAGCAGGATCCCAGAGTTCCAGGGGGAGAGTCATGGGAAATAAGACTTGAAAAGTAATATGGATTTAGAGTTTTAGTTCTAGATGGGAAAATTTGGCTTTTTGAGCAGAGCAGAAAAGCAATGAAATCAATATTTTAAAAAGATTTATTTGGCAAGATGTGAGATATGCTTTGGAGGGAGATAGACTGTAGGCAGAGAGCCAGTTAGGAAACAGGTTAATCATCCATTTGTGAAATGAGGGATGATGGCAGCAGAAAGGAAAATTAGGAAGAGATGGCAAATTAGAAATAAGAATCTATATTACTTAATGACTGATTGGCTATGGAGGACAAGACACCTGTCAGTTTTCAGGACTAGATGACTATGGAGAACTACTGGCATTGCTGTAGTTGGAAAAGTAATAGGCACCTATCCTATTTACACCTCCTCTTTCTGCTAAGAATAGGTCACCCACAGTATAATCCTGTTTCCAGCCTAGGTTTTTACAGGTGGCGATAGCAGTGGTGGTAGTGGTAGTGATGATGGTAGAGATAGTGGTGGTGATGGAGGCAGTGGCAGAAATAGTGATGATGGTGGTGATGACAATGTTGAAGGCAGTGGTAGTGGTGGTAGTAATGTGATAGTGATGATAATTGTGGTAGGGGTTGGGTGCAATCGTGTAGGTGGTAGTGGCAGTGATGGAGGTGGTGTAAGTGGCAGCAATAATGGTGGTAATGGAATGGTGCTGGTGGGAATTTTGGAGGAGGATGGCGATGGTGATGGTGATAGAAGTGGTGGTGATGGTGGTAATGGAAGTAGTGGTAGTAGTGGTTGTGTGATGAGAGAGGTGAAGATGCAGATGGCTTTAATGATGGAGGGGGTGGTATGATGGTAATCATGGCAAGTGATTATGGTAGGGACTGTGGTGGCGAGGGTGGTGGTGGTGATAATGGTGGTGATGAGGATGGAGTGATAGTAGAAATGATTGTGGTATGGGTTGTTATAGTGCTGGAGGGAGTCATAGCAGTGGAAATAACAGCAAAGGTCATGTCCTGGTGACTGTGGTAGGGTGTGGTAGTAGATGGCACATCTTAGCTATGCAACTATAACTTTAAGTCTTGAATTTACTCTTGTCTACTCATATCATGAATTTAGGAGAACAGAAGAAGGCTTGATTGTCCACAGAGCTATATGACCCTGTCCTACCCTTTACCACAGCTGATTAGACTAGAACTGTACATCTGCCTCGGGAAACAGTCTAGGCTGGTTGAGCTAAGAAGATTTTCAACCTAGAGGTTGAGTTTAACTAAGAGACTAGGAAATTGTAGCTATTAGATGTAGACACTTGAATGGAAGAGACTTGTGGAGTAAGAGCCTGAGTCATCACCATTGCAGTGAAATGCTGTGTACCGTTAAGGTTAAGAAAGAGTTCACAAGTTATGAGTAAACAGAGAAGGGCAATGTGCTGATAGAGGCAGGAAATGAAGCAGGGGGCAGAGAGAAGCAGAAATGAAAGACCAGGCAGCAGCCTCCTTCCTAGCTGACAAGGTCCAGGCGTCATGGGCTCCCAAAGAGACCATTCAAGTCCATTCTGGTTTCAAGTGGCCGTGAAATTGCCAGTTGTATCCTTTCCATAAACTTCTCTTTTATTTGAATTGCTTTGTGTGAGTTTCTGTTCCTTGCAATCAAATATCAGGGACTAAGATATTCATGAAGTTAATTGCTTATTTTTCATGCTGTTTGCAGACTTCAAGGTTACCAGCCCCTAGATACCACTATTAGATGCTTTTGTGTTTGGACCCCTCAACCCTCTACCAGGGAGCTTTTGTATTGGACAGATCATACACCAAAGAATTGTATTTAACATCAGGTCCATTTCACACAGAGTCCAGGCTTTATTTAATATAATCTGTTACTTAATAGTGTCCCCTTGATATTTGAAAATTAGAGTTCCCCCACCCAGAACGTCACATCCTGCTTCTCCAGTGGCAGCAATGTCTCTAGACTGTCTCTTGCTATGTTCTTTTTTCTCTGGCTTGCATTCTCTTGACTTACACCTTGATCCCCCTTCTCTGCCTTCCTTCTTCAGATGCCAGACCTGGACTCTCTGACTTTGATTTTGACTCACTCAGAAGATCCTGACTCTGGTGTCTCTCTCCCAAGGATGGAAGAACACACCTGACTGACAAGCTGGACTTAGACCTGATGCTCTACACTTCTGCCAGGTTGGTGAGAGAGGACTGGAAGGGGTCGGGGGGTGATCTTTATCTACTGAGTACACGTGTCAGGTATTCTACAGCCTGTTCGGTCAGCATTACTGCCTTTGTTCTATATGTGATAAATCTGAAGCTCAGAGTGTTTAAGGTGAATGAGTTTATGTAGTGAATGAATGGCAGATGTGGGGTGTGAACCCAAATGTGTTTGACTTCAAAACATGTTTTCCTTTTAAACTGTGCTGACTTGCCAAAGAGGGGATAAAACGAGTCTTAGTCGAGTACTCTGTTAGCACCCTTTAATGACCATCTGACGTCCATTCTCCCCTTCCTTCTTCGTAGCAAAGCCCTGGTTTTATTTGGTATGGAAATATGCTCCTCTAAAAAACTCTATAGTCTAGGCTTCCTGCAGCCAAGGCGTAGGCATGTGAAAGCCGATATGATGAAAGTTGAAGGGTTGTGCGGAGCTTCTAGGAAGGCTGCTTAAAGCTTCAAGTTGATCCAGCTGGGAGGTTCTCCCCTTTGCTCTTCTTCTTGCTCAGAATGGAGCTCTGATAACCACCTTGTACATGAGGAGATCCTAAAGGTGGAATCCACATTCTAGGGTAGGGGAGCCTGGGTCCCTGAAGGTAGCAGTGCTGCCATATCAGTTCTGAAATGCCTGCCTCTGCACTCTTATGTGAAGAGATATAAACACCTGTTTTGTTTGAGCTACTTTTATATGCAGTAGATTCAAGCACCTCCTATATGTGAAACACTGTGCTGGCACTTGGACATTTGGTTACCCCCATTTCGGATGAAGACCCTAGGTTCCAGAAAGTTAGAGTAATTAACTTAAGCTCACACAGCTAGTCAAGTGGCATGTCTTGACTTTAGAGCATATTGCTCCAAAGACTAAAGTCTAAATTCCTTAACATGGCATATGAAACGCCCATGATCTAACCATTGCCTTTTGTCTTACATTTTGTTTTATGCTTTTAAAAATGCTGTTCCCTCTGCCTAGAATTCTCTGCCCTACTTTTCCTCTGGGAATCTCCTACTCATCCTTTAAGACCTAGTCAAAGTGCTACCTCCTCTGAAGTCTTTCTTAAGCAGATGTCTCATGACATAGGTCTTCCTTCTTCTGTGCCCCTATTGCTCCATGCTATGCCTTATTAAGACATCGTGTTGCATATAGCGTGGTAATTGTCTACACGCCTGTCTCCCTTCTAAAATGTCAGCTTCTTTAGAGGCCAGATCTTTCCATCTCTGTATCCTCACCATTAGTTCACTGCCTAGCACATAAGAAGGAAATTTTTTTTGAATGACTGCCCAAATGAATAAAAGTAGGCATCAAGTTGAATGGTACCTTTTAGTAAACTTCAGGGGCTAAATATCACATACTGAGGCTTATCTCCTCATGTGTCTCCTAAGCCCCCTGGGAAGCATATGAGAGCATGTCATTGCAGGACTGCTTTCGGTGGAGACCCATGAGAGCTCATGTCTCCATGGAGACCCTTCAATTCATTCTTTACTCTCATTCCATAGCCCCTGCACCTAAAGAGGACTGTGGCATATTTCCAATTCAAAACATGGTTTTGTTAGGGAATGTGACTGAAAAGATCATAAATGTAGATCTGATTCTTGCTTGAATCCTTTCAAGAAATTGAATCAGTTCTGGCACAGCATCCTTTTTCAAGACACGCCTGTCTCCCTTCTAAAATGTCAGCTTCTTTAGAGGCCAGATCTTTCCATCTCTGTATCCTCACCATTAGTTCACTGCCTAGCACATAAGAAGGAAATTTTTTTTGAATGACTGCCCAAATGAATAAAAGTAGGCATCAAGTTGAATGGTACCTTTTAGTAAACTTCAGGGGCTAAATATCACATACTGAGGCTTATCTCCTCATGTGTCTCCTAAGCCCCCTGGGAAGCATATGAGAGCATGTCATTGCAGGACTGCTTTCGGTGGAGACCCATGAGAGCTCATGTCTCCATGGAGACCCTTCAATTCATTCTTTACTCTCATTCCATAGCCCCTGCACCTAAAGAGGACTGTGGCATATTTCCAATTCAAAACATGGTTTTGTTAGGGAATGTGACTGAAAAGATCATAAATGTAGATCTGATTCTTGCTTGAATCCTTTCAAGAAATTGAATCAGTTCTGGCACAGCATCCTTTTTCAAGATTTTGAAAACTTTGAATCCATTTTAAACTAGATTGTGATCGACAGACCCACTGGAACGTTAGCAAACAGTTAAATACTAATTAGCCAAGTTGCTGCTAATCTCCCAGCTGTCAAAGCCAGAGATAGAGACAAAAGCTTCTATTAAACCTGAGTTGGTCCCTGAGGAGGAAGAGGTCAGAGGGGAGTGTTCAGTCAACTGTGAGATTATGTGAACGAAGTCTTAAGTGAAAATAATAAAAAACATGCAAATGTCCCTTTACTCATTTAAAAAGACATTATATTGACATGAAAACTCTCCTTTTGTCATTTTACTCTCCCCAATTTCCCCATCATTTAACTGTTACCCATTATTTTTAGGATAAAGTTCTAAACTTTTCCCTGACTTTCTGCCCCCAAGTAAGATTTCCAGTTGTATTTGTCACTTCCTCCTCTTCTTGGACCTTGTGCTCAAGGCTGAACATGCCCTTAGGTACATAAAGCTGGGGATGATAACTGCAAGATACAAGATGGACAGATAATACTGTGGTTGTGAATGGTGGTAGTGGTGGTAGGAGGGGGTGGGTATTGAGGGAAGGTGGAGAAAGCTGCCTTTGAAGACCCAAAATGGTCTGCACAAAAAGACTTAAAATCTACTCCTGTGGGCTAGTTCTCTGTTTACACTTCACTGCCCTCCAATATTTCTCCTAATTGTTTCTCAAAATTCAAGCAAGTGTAACCCAGTATTGTAGCCCAAGTCCCTTATTCAAGTGAAGCCATACTAAAACCTATCTGTCCCCCATCCCATTGCAATAGGAGACTTTTCTTTCACTCCTTGGTATATATGTGGATTTACAGGGGAGTGTGGGGGTGGGGTGCGGCAGTGTCCATTTTATATTGTATGAATCTTTTTAAATTTTATTTATTTATTTATTTATTTTTGGCTGTGTTGGGTCTTCGTTGCTGCGTGCGGGCTTTCTCTAGTTGCGGCGAGCAGGGGCTACTCTTCATTGCAGTGTGCGGGCTTCTCATTGTGGTGGCTTCTCTTCTTGAGGAGCACGGGCTCGAGGCACGCGGGCTTCAGTAGTTGTGGCTCACGGGCTCTAGAGCGCAGGCTCAGTAGTTGTGGTGCAGGGGCTTAGTTGTTCCGAGGCACGTGGGATCTTCCCGGCGGATTCTTAACCACTGTACCACCAGGGAAGTCCCTGTATGAATCTTTATAAAATTCTCACAGGTATTTGAGAGTCCCAAAAGGTTAACAAACTTCAATTTAGAAGAGATTAATGTGAAGAATTAAAACAGAACTTCTTAAAGTATGGTTCGTGGACTACTTATGTTAGGATCAACTGGAGAGCTTGTTTTTAATATAGATCCTTGGACCTCGACTCAGGATTCTTGAATTAGAAAATCTGGGGTGGGAGCCCCAAAATCTGCATTTAAAAATCCTCCCAGAAGATCTACTTTACCAGATGAGAACCACTGGCTTTAAATGGATCTAGGTCCATGTTTATTGGTATTTTATAATTTGTGGGCATTTTATAATTACCCGTTTTCCTGAATTCTCCAAGTTGAATAGTTAATGCCTTGAGTTTGCCTGAAAGACAATTATATCATCAGAAATAATTATAATTTGTCCTCCTTCTTTCAATTTGTGTGTGTGTGTGTGTGTTTTCTTCTTGCACTGGCTATGTTGTAGAACAGGGGTTGGCAAACTATGGTCCATAGCCCTAATCTGGCCACCATCTATTTTTGTATGACCCATGAACTAATACTGGTTTTTACATTTCTAAATGGTTGATCTATAAGTACCTACATAATATCCTCTATGTTGCCTCTTGGCAGGAAATGTCTGAAATATTTCCTATCTGGCTCTTTATTGAAAAAGTTTGATGACCCACCAGCAAAGAATGAGAGTTCTGTTACTCTCTGACTGTCAGCATTTGGTATTGTCAGAATGTTTTTTAGCTATTCTGATAGGTGTATAGAAGTGTCTCATTGTGGTTTTAATTTGCATGTTTCTAATGGCTAATGATGTTAAGTATCTTAATGTGTTTATTTGCCATCCAGATATCTTCTTCGGTGAAACGTCTGTTCAAATCTTTGGACCATTTTTTTTTTTTTTGCTGTACGTGGGCCTCTCACTGTTGTGGCCTCTCCCGTTGAGGAGCACAGGCTCCGGATGCGCAGGCTCAGCGGCCATGGCTCACGGGCCCAGCCGCTCCGCGGCATGTGGGATCTTCCCGGACCGGGGCACAAACCCGTGTCCCCTGCATCGGCAGGCGGACTCTCAACCACTGCACCACCAGGGAAACCCTGGACCATTTTTAAAAAATTGAATTGTTATTTTCTTATTGTTGAGTTTTGTGAGTTCTTTATATATTCTGGATACAAGTCCTATGTCAGAAATATGGCTTGCAAATATTTTGCAAGTATTTATTTTAATTCCATTGAGTGTTTTATGCAGAAGAAAATCTTTTAATTTTAATTAAGAAAACCTGTTAATTTTAATTAAGTCTAATTTATCATTAAAATATTTTTTGCATATCATGCTGTTGGTATTATATGCAAGAACTCTTTGCTTAACCCAAAGTCACAAAAATTTTCCCCTGTGTTTTCTTCTAAAAGTTCTATGGTTTTACAAAATTTTATATTTAGAGCTGTGATTAGTTGAGTTAATGTTATAAGATGTGAGGTAAAATTTGAGTTTCTTTTTTTTTCTCTTCTTTTTTTTTGCGTATGACTGTTCAATTGTTTCAACAGCATTTTTTAAAGGACTATTAGTTATCAAAAATAGGTTGACCATATTTATGTGGGTCTCTTTCTGTTTGAGTCCTCCAACTTTACTCTTCTTTTTCAAAATTGTTTTGGCTATTCTAGTTCATTTGCTTTTCCATATAAATTTTAGAGTCAGCCTGTCTATATCTTCAAAAATCCTGCTGAGATTTTGATTGCAATTAAAAGTTAAATCTATAGATCAATTTGGGGAAAATTTATATCTTAACTGTGTTGAGTGTTCCAATTCGTGAATATGGAATGTATCTTCATTTATTTAGGTCTTCCTTGATATTTCATCAGATTTTGTAGTTTTCAAGATACAGATCCTGAACATGGTTTTAGTTGGGTTTTTTTGTTTGTTTGTTTTGGTTTTATGCCTAAGTTTTCTCTTTTTTTCAAGCTTTAAATAGTATTTAATTTTTTTCAGTTTCCAATTGTTGTTGATTGCTAATATATAGAAATACAATTGATTCTTGTATGTTGACCTTGTATCCTGTGATTTTGCTAATAAACTCACTTATTAGTCCTAGGATCTTTTTTGCGTTGAATTTCGTCAAATGCTTTTCCTGCAGCAGTTGATATATGATCATGTGGTTTTTTGCTTTAGTCAGTTAATATGGTAGATTATATTGATTTATTTTTAAACGTTGAAACAGCCTAGTGTTTCTGCAATAAAACCCATTTTTTGGTGATGTATTGGTTCTTTTATTGATTGCTGGAATTGATTTGATAATGTTTTCTTAAGGACTCTTATCTGTATTTGTAAGGATATATGTATGGCCTTAGTTTTCTTTTCTTGTGCTATGTTTGTCTTGTTTGGTATCAGGTTAATGCTGGCTGCATGAGAGGACTTGGAAAGTGTTTTCCCCTCTCCTATCTTCTAGAAGATATTGTGTAGAACTTCTGCTATTATTTATTTAAATGTTTGTTAGAATTTATCAATGAAACTATGTGGACTGGGAGCTTTCTTTTTGGGGAGGGTTTGAACTAAATTTTCAATTTCTTCAAGAGACATAGGACTAGTAAGATTCTCTATTTCTTTGTGGATGAATTTTGGTAGTTTGTGGCTTTTAAAGAATTTGACCATTTCGTCTAAGCTGTTGAACTTTTATTCATAGAGTTCTTGTAATATTTCCATATTATCCTTTTAATGTCTGTGGGGTCTGTATTGATATTCCCTCTTTCATTTCTGATGTTAGTAATTATTGTCTTCTGTATTTTTTCCTTTTTGTCAATCTGTTCATAGTTTTACCTTCATAATTCTTTTTACAATGAATCAGCTTTTGGTTTTATTAATGTTCTCTATTTCTTTTCTCTTTTCAGTTTTATTAATTTCTGCTCTTGTGTTTATTGTTTCCTTTCCTCTACTTGGACATCTGTATTTTAATTTTTATACTATCACATCTCAATAATTAATCACTTAATTTTGTTTCAATTCAAATGGTTGTAATATGTCTTCGGCTAATTATTTTCAAAGAAAATACCACATATGTCATAAAACTTTTATTTATTTTTTTTTTTAATTTTTTTTTTGTGGTACGCAGGCCTCTCACTGTTGTGGCCTCTCCCATTGCGGAGCACAGGCTCCGGATGCACAGGCTCAGCGGCCATGGCTCACAGGCCCAGCCGCTCTGCGGCATGTGGGATATTCCTGGACCGGGGCACAAACCCATGTCCCCTGCATCTGCAGGCGGACTCTCAACCACTGCGCCACCAGGGAAGCCCTGTCATAAAACTTTTAAAGCCCTGCCTCCCTGAAAATTTCTCTCTGTTGGTCATACATGAAAGCCAGCTTACCTAGGTATAAAATTCTTAGGTTATAACATTTTCTCTTCAAAATCTATAGATGTGGCTTCACTGTCATCTAGAAGTAGAAATATAGAGGTATCTGAGGCTACCCTTGTTTGCATTGTTATAAGAAACGGATTTTCCCTCCTGCTAATGACATTTTAAATTTATTTTTGTAGTTTAAATTTTTCCAAGAAGTGGGCCAATTTCCAATAATTTTTACCTGGAGTTTAGTCAGTTCATTTAATCTCCAGGTCTTTCTTCAGCTCAGAAAAGTTATTAGATGATTATTGCTTTACGTAGCTTTTTTGGTTAAGTAATAATTCTGGTGTCTCAATTGTAAATACTATTTGTTATTCAAATGGTGATTTGCCATTCCTTATTCTGTATTTCTACTGACTTCCAAAAGTTTTTGTTTTTTAGTTATTTATCTGCAATGTAACACCTTCTTATTTTGTTACCTCTTATTCTCTTGATTTTAGACTTTTTTGAATAGATTTACACATATTTATTAAGGTTATTTCCTGTTGTACTCTTCTGTATATACCAATTTGTTTCCTGAAATTTTATTCTGAATCTTACAGTAGACATTTCCTACATTTATGCTTTTGTTCTGAATCTTTATTACGTTATTAATTTTCCTCAGTTTTGCAGTACTTTCAAAAAAGTAAACTTCTGTTGGTTTTCTTCTCTTATTCAGTCACTGTCTAGAACAGGGCCTGGCATACCATAGGGATTCAATGGACATTTGTTTAATGAATTAATCATGAGGAAGGTGAAATCTTTCTAGACATTGGGTATGTGAATTAACCTTGGCCCTCCTCTTACCCTGTTTATGTGATGGTCTAAGTCCCTTTTCAGATCGACAACTGCAGGCTAATTGATGTGCATAGTTTCCAGTCTAATTCGTAGCTTACAACTAATGTGTCTCTTTTCCATTCAGATGACATCTTTCCCTGTGTCTGACGTTCACTTGTCTGGTACTGATGGAATGCATGAACATGCATCATTCCCATGTCTGTCAACTTTCATCCTATGTCTGTGCATATCTATAATGGTTTCTCATGATGGTTACCTATCCCATGTACAATGCTCAAATGAAAGCTTCCTACCTGTATTTTCCACCCAATTGATATCTGGCTTTTGCTCTTTGACTGTACGAAGATGTGAAACAGAGCAGAGGGGTTTGTAGGCAGATGTGTTCAGTCATTGAAGGAAAAACTTATGCCCAATTTTCTGGGTGGTACATACTGGAGTCTCTGAATCAGTGGTGGTAAAAAATGAAGTATCATTTTATATTTCATCACTTTTTTGGTATTCCTATTTAATTTATTGAGGAGTTGGACACTATTAAACACAGAGCTACCAGCCAATGCCATTTTGAGCTAGAACGCCATTTCTAGTGTATTTTTAAAGTATTAGAATTTATTTTAAAATCCAGCCAGAATCTAGGACATTTATTTTGAATGAATACACATTGCTGTTTTTTCTTATCATATTCACCTCCTTCTACACACTCTTATACGTAAATATGCCAAAACTAAATACTCACACTGTGCACTCACTACAGACAGTTGATAAAGGATTTTGAAACAATTTATAAATATTTATTAAAGTAAAATAATAGCAACTATTGCCAAAAATAGCATCCCATCTAAGTATATTCACAACAGATGATCTCCAAAATCATTTTATGCTGACTCATTTTTTCATTTTATTCTAATTCTGACATGTTATTCTATCCCAGATCACTTCAGAGTTATCAGCTGCTCTCCCTCATGAATTCCCAGTCCAATTAGCAAACCCTTATGTATCCTATTACACTATCTTTCACAGTGCTTGCTGAGCTCCAAGTCCAGCACAATCTATTTCTAGTCTGGTTCTTCCCATAGGAATTTTTTGCAATTCTTAAATGGCAGAGAATTTATTTTCAAAATAAAAACTGATAAACAAGTTGTAGAAAAATGTGTATTTGCTTCCTAAGAAAGATTACTGCAAAATGTTGGAAAAACTCAGACTTTTGATTTATCATCTACAATAATCCTGTTTTACACATTGACCTTAACCAATCCCAAACTTTTCCCTTTCATAACTGAGAATAAATAGTTGGGGAAACTCCATAAGCTACAGAACCAGAGGAAGAGAAATGCTCAATTAAAAATAAAAATCAGGAAGCCATAGGCTAGATAGATAGATAGATACGTTTTTCATTTAAAATGTTTTAGCAGCCAGCTTACCGATCAATTCTTCTCACCCTCTTTTGACCCTTTTTTTAAAGCAGTTAACATGGTCTAAGTCATTGCATTTACTGTTTTTAAGTCTGATGTTTTTCTTTGTTTGAACAATGGCTGTAATCATGTTTTCTCAGGTCTCTTAGAAGTTACACTAATAAGAAGTAGCAGACAGTCCTCTCCCATGCATTCTAGAAGCAGATTTCTCATGTGGCAAGACAAAAAAGGAAAAAAATATCACTTAACATATAATGAGGCCCTATATCTGAGACCCTGTGAGGTCATGTCTGTACAGCAGATTGGACTCCTGCTTAAGTTTTTCTTATGGAGGCAGGAGTGATTTGGTGATGACATAAA